AGCAAGTATTTTCAACTCCCTGAGCTCTCTCTCTAGCCTCGGCTCTTAATTTATAGTGTTACTAAGCAAACATAGTTTTCTTCATTTTATTAATGTGAAGACTTTGAATTCAAAAGGCATTTCCACATACGATGACCCTCCCCAGACACTAGTAGCAGCACTTGGTGAAGATACCCGTAGGATGGTCAGACCTGAGGACTTGAGCCATGTGCTCTGCTTGGGAATTCCTTCTGCAGTATGACTTTGGATACCATAATTTATCCATCTCAGGGATAATGTACTAGTGCTGTAGTGTCCTAAAGCATAATACATAGATGCTAACGATTTTGTGTCTAGTTTTAATGAAGTAAAACAGCATATAAATGGGTATAGTTTAAAATGTTAATACTCTGTTGTTCTCATGTGGTTTTTGGCATGCTTGTTACATTTACATAGCTTATTAAATGTAGCTGGTAACATACCTACATTTCATTGTATTACATGCATAAATTTAAATGTGTATATTCCTATATAAAACTGTTATCCATAAACTCCAGAAAGTTAAGAAAAGCATCTTTTTAATCTTTTATCCTACTTAGTATGTTTTCCTGTTCTAGATTAGATTGTAAGAATCTTCCCCTAGACACCATTAGAGATATATCTGTGGTATATTAACTTTTTACATACTTGAACAACTCTTGAAATCACAAGATACTTTTCTGATGCCACAAGTTTTAAGTTATATAATAAAATGTTAGATTTTTTGAACTTTTCATATTTCATAAGTAATGATGCTATTGGTAATATTTTAGTAATCTTTATGAAATATTTTCCATGGGATTTATCTTCCCTGGGATCCAACCCAACAGTACCACTGCTAGATACTCACCTAAGATAAGGAAAAACTTAGAGTCACAAATAAAGGCCTTGTGTGAGAATTTTCGTAGTTGCTATAGTCACAGTATATCCTAGACTGGAAACAACCAGGTGTCTATAGCAAGAGTAAAGAAGCAGCAAAGTGCTGCTTGGCCGTTAAAGTCTCCTGCTTTACATATGTAAGAGTGAAACCACGGAGGACAAGTCACGGCCTTTGGGTTGCAACAGCAAGAGGTTTATTCAGGACACAGGTACCTGTGGGCACAGAGTCTCCTCGGAGGACTTGCGCACCCCAGGTTGAGTTCAGGGGGTTTTTATAAGGCAGAAGCAGGGTACAGAAGCAGAAACGCGGTTATTGGTTAATTTCAAACACACATAGTAATTTTACCAGTAATTTCAAAGGTATGCAGAGGTATGGGGTAAGGTCCGGGGCTGAGGGGAAATAGGATTGCTAAATGGGAGGTGACCTCAGAAGCACAGACGTTTTCTAAAGATTTCCTGGTATCGGGCCCCCAGGGTGGTCAGGAGTTCTGTCTTGTTTATGGCTTCATCTGTGAGGCTTGACCGACGCCTGCCTGTCCTGCAGCCTTTTGATAAGGCTGGTTCTGGTTTTTGTTAAGTTTTAACAAGTGGGCTGTGGGCCCCTGAGCACTCATGGTGCCTAGTTTCTTTTTATTTTCTCACATAGATGGATGGGTATCCTAAGCATGCTGAGTGGGACTGAGTGCAAAAGCTGCACATGGTTCTAGTCTCTGGATTTTAGCTGGCAAACTGAACTCTGTATGAGAGCAATCAGCTAGGTGATTGGGAACTTTGGGTGCTTAGCTTGTAGAAATGCTCTGTCTTTGTCAAGACTGGTCCGGTGTCAATCTTGGGGTGTCATTGCATAATTACACCCCAGTTTTTAGCACGATTGTGAATGTAGAGTAAATAAAAGGTGAGAAGTCATAAGATTGCAGATCCTTAACTAGCAGTTTTATGGCCTTGCCCTGATTCTTAAGAGCTGTTTGCCTTGTTACAAATGCAAAAGTAATTACACCTGACACAGATAATGCTGGCTTGATAAAACACCTTGTGAGGTGTCTAGAAGTAGTAAGATCTGTGGCTTCAGGATGCCTTATTTGATCACTTAGGGTTGTAGAAAGAAGTCTTAGTAGAAGATGTAGATGAAAGCTTCTGAATCAGAGGTAGAACTTAAGCAAGCTTCCTTATCTGAATTTCCATTTGGAAAAGAGGTGACATACGCCTTCACTGTGTTCATTCAGGTGCGTCTACTAAGTTTTTGTCAAAAGCAGGACAGTGAGTTTGAAATAAGCCCTTTCCTATGAAGGTAATTCTATAATGAGCCTCATTGTCCCTTGAGGCACAGCATCATGTTGTGAATACAAAGTGGTGCAGTTGGTAAGGTCAAGAAAATGAAACTTGTTGTAGAGTGAGACGATTTGGGTTCAGATTCCAGCTCTGCCAAGTAACTGCTGAATCCCCCTCACCATACACAAACCTGGAAGGCATTAATTAGATAGATTTCTACAGGGTGACACAGTTCAGCTTAAGCTGCCACTGCTTACAGTAGCACACGGTGTTGGCACCTCCTAGTTTAAGCTTTGCCACTTTCCACTATGCAATGACGTTTGACCTGTTTTGAGCGCTGTACATCCTTTCGGGTGCCTGCATGCACATAAACGTGTGCGGACACACCTGTGTTTTTTTGTCTCTTTCCCTTTGGCTTTATCACCATGGTTGACATGCATCACCTCTCAATATGTGGTGCTGCCCAGAAGAAGCCATTGGAGTCAAGCCTGTTTCTGGCACATACTCTTCACAAGCACTTCATCTGCATGCATTTTGACAGAGGTGAACTTGGACTCGCTTGCTGACATTTTCCAGCTTTGACAGCCTTTTCGCCTGGCTGGAGCTTCTGGCATTCTTCCATCGTTACACTGGATTAACCTGCAACCAGCTCTTGAAAATCTTCATTTTTAAAATTAGTATTTTACTAAGAAAATTGAAGCTTAATCATAGTAGATTTCCATTTCTTCCTTTCCTCACTTTTAACCAAACAAATCGTATTTATCTTATTCATCTTTGTAAAAATTGATGGGAGGGGTCAAGGAATAATAATTCCACAACTATGTAAGCATCTTCCCGTGTTTTATGGAAAAGAAGGCTTTTTAAAAGTTGGCAGTGACATATCAGATATCTTTATAATGCTGTCATTTTTATTCTCTGTGGTTCATTAAATGCCTACTCAGCAGTTCTACAGATTACAGCACAGCAGTCCTTGCTCTGAGAATGCCAGAGATCTTTGTGTCATTACAGTTGTAGTCGAAAGAGGGGCTGAGAAACTGAACACTTTACTTTAGTTCTGCCCCTCCCTTTTTGAATGGGAAAGAAATAATGTCAGAAAAATGGATCATTGGATCGCTTTCCAGTTTTATTTTTTATTTATGTGCATGTGAGTGCAGATGCCTGAGTAATTCTGAAGAGGATGTCGGATCTCCCAGGAGCTGGGATTACAGGCTGTTGTGAGCCACCCAACATGGGTGCTGGGAACTGAACTGGGTCCTCTGCAAAAATAGCAAGTGCTCTTAACCTTGAAGCCATCTCTCCAGCCCCATGGATTATTTTCTTTTAAATTACTAAACCTTGAGTATTGCATTTAAGTGGGCAAGCACTTTATTCTTTTGTTATCTCCAAGCACCTGTGAAAGACAGCAGGTGAATTGCTTCAACTTGGCATTATTGTTTGAAGACAGCTTAATTATTTGTTCAGATATAGTAAGAAATCATGATAGAGTTTAGGACATGAGGGTATTGTAAAACGTTAGCTAGAAGCTGTGCTTTGGTGTATATAGACTGCACACCTAGATCATGTATAGACTTTAGTGGCAGACAGCACTGGCAGGATCACTTAGCCGATGGGGTGGTGTAGCAGTGATGGCCAAGAGTGGAGGTAGTCAGTGGAGTGGGTGGAGCCAGGTATGTGGGGTGGGGTGGGGTGGGGCGGAGCCAGGGTACATGGGGTGTGATCACCCAGGGTCTTGTTTTGTGGCTCTTTGTAATGTAGTTAGTCTTGATGACCTTTTTCACTTTTAAACGCTTCCTCATTTAGATTGTGAATCTTGGTGCTCTAGCCATAGAGGGCCAGAGATAGAGTTGACAGCAAGGCTTGTTAGAGTGATGGGAACTACTAGAGTGGCATAAGAAATCAGAAAATGGAGGTGTAAAAACTTTGTGACTACTGTTAGTTCACTTTTGTGTGTCTAAAGCTTTCTTGCCTGTGTATTGCAATCACATCTTAAACAAGTCTCCTCCCCACCTTGTGTCTTCTGATGAACACATTGAGTTATAGAATGTTCAGCATGATAGAATAGATGACATATTGACCCTTTCTAACAGTTTCTACTTAAAAGCAACTCTTAAGGAAATCTTACCAGTAGCCATTAAAAATGTTATGTAGCAACATGTTATCATGGAAACAAAAGGGTTTAGTATGCCAGGACCTTTTGATTCCCAATATTTTTCCTGATTGAAACAGGTAACTGTAGTCAAATGTTAACCTGTTTTAAGTCTCGTGGAATATAGACCTAGCTATGAGGGGGGGGTTGTCGGGGGCAGTGTGAGGGGGTGTTCTCAACTACAAACACTCGGGTCTGGAAAGATGGCTCCGCAGTTAAGAACACTGAATGGTCTTGCAGAAGACCGACCAGTGTTCGAA